AGTGGGAGGAAACCGGAAACCACGGCAGTTGACTCAATGACAGACCTTATGATACAGCGCGCACGTGTTAACCATTCGACCATAAAACTGTTATAATACTAGATAATGTATAACATTAGTACCTTTCAATTGTCGCTTACCAGCTGAAAGTAAACGCATCCAGTGTGTATTGTGTTCTATTTTAAAACCATTGTTTTATATTTTGTAAAGCGGTTGACAGGCGTTATTGCTCCCTTGCAAAGAAACAGTTTAATACAATTTTCTGTATCGCGCTTGAGTGGGAATGAATGATTTATGTAGTTGAAGAAAATTATCTGAAATCAGCTCCATGTGGTACATGTACATTTATTATTAATGGCTTTTGTTTTCCACGCTGATAAACATGCATACTCTACGGTGGCCTAGTGGTGCCATTCGTTCATTTATACATTTTTCTGGTAATTTACCTCATATGAGATAATTCACCCTGCAATATAATGAAGGATTGTTTCGCAATGGAAACTATATATATTAAATCAAAAAAACACGAAAAACGTTTTTTCCGCGGTGTAAACCATTTCTCTGCGATGTAAGCCTTTTCTCCGCGATGGCAAATCACATGTTTCCACCGCGGAGAAAGGGTTACCCGGGACCTTGGTCTTTCGTCCAATCCGCAAGACTAAACGCTGTGCCTGCCAAGCCCCCCCCCCCCCCGCCTCAAGCTGTACATCTGACCCAACTAAACACAGGCAGCGAAACTCCTAGACTCCTTAAATTAGAAACGGGTAAAAAACAAACGTGATGATTTAGAAATTTAGGATATTAAAACATAGCATGTAGATCTATAGATATTGAACCAAAAAAAAAGATATCTACATGTATATTTCAAAATATTACATAGATATAACGTGGATTATCAATTTATTGAAGGTTTATCAACCGCATTCATATCATATTTGAAACATCGGACGTCACAGACATACCGCTTAGTACCGTAGTTTGATAAGGTTCTTCAACCGATTTCACATCATATTCTCAACGGCTGACGTCATAGATTGATAAATCTATAATATCCATATATATATTCAGCGAAACGGGGTTAGATGGATTTGATATTTATAGTAGTAACTTGGCGGCGCTAAAAATTCATTAGTAAGCAATTCTATTTTCAGTGTCCGCGCTGTTTTTAATAATATTCACAATTTTGTAATGATATTAGAAATTGGTCTGTCGGTCTCAATCGCCAAGTCCAACTTGTCTGCGTTTGTATTTAGATTTTCTTTTGACATTTAGATTTAGTCTTGCCAAATCCCGTTGCTTTCGTTGTTTTAGAATAATACATGAAACCTATAAATAAACACGAAAAGTTTGGTTGTGTAATTCAGCCTTTTGGGAACCTACATAGCATGGTTGGAACATGCAGAGCTGGCAAGCATACTGAGTTTAATTATCTGGATGGCACAAAAAAAACAAGGTCCCGTATAAGAAAGAGGGTAGTGCAAGTAAATGGATTGGCAAAACAATTTGAAATTGCGTCGTGTGGCTTTAGATTCTGTGACAGTTTGGATGATAGTACTTTCCGTTATCAGGATATTTTTATGGCATGTTATCCACCACCCCACTCCCACCACCACCACCACCCATTACCAAAACTGTCGACACTATGTTCCATCTAATAAAAATCCTTCCATCGGTCGCAAAGTTCCACAAGACGTCCCACAATGATTTTTTTTTTATGTTCAATAGGTATTTTTTAAAGACGGCTATATGCAATATTTCTATAAAATTAAACCACCATTAAATATTATTAGTCATTAATCCTGAGTGATTAGAAACACATAATCTGATCGACACTATAAAACATAAAAAATATCTCATAAATTCAGTATCTTAAATGTCAGCATAAAGAACCGGATTTTCGTTTCTTTGACAATAATTTGACGTTAATTTATCAAAGTGATAGAAATTCTCTCCCCTCATATATAACTCATAAAGCTGGGTAAAGCCTTATTGATGTTCTGTTTTTACTTTTCGATGAAAACGAAATGAGCTAAACTGGTCCGGTATTTCTTAAGAAACGGGTTCAGGGGTCACCTTTGTGGCAGGTCAACAGCAACCGAGCCTGAAAATTCTCATCGAATTCGTTGTTTAAAAGCATAATAATGTAGCTTCAAACCTTCACTCTGTTGTAGCTGTATGTGTAGTGACCGGTATCGTGCATGAGACGGATATGCACATTTTTTAGATCACCCGATTCCCCCATTGTAGTTTGAGGGACAGGCTGAATTAGTTCTGCGACTTACTCCAAGGATGATGTAATGCTTGTAAATGAAGTCGCAAAGCAACCTAAGATTTAAGGGATTGACCTCAACAACCCCAACTTTAATGACACGCCAACTTTTTACATAAAACTTCCCGACAAATAAAGAAAACCATCCACCGTTGAAATGATCAATATTACTTGTCGATTAATTTAATAAGACGTTTTTCCTGATGATCAGTATATTTTTTGGAACATTTTTGTCTTCAGTTCACACACCTTGAAAACTTGTGTATAATCTATATATGTCATCGTGAGATTTATGAGTATATCGACCAGTAATCAATTATTATATAGAATCATTACGTGACATAGCTGGAAGGCTCATACATATATTTTGCCCAGAATGATTTATGTATTTTTGTGGAAAAAGAAATTTCCATTATCCTTGGATGTTTTTTTTTTTTAATATGGAATATTATTGCGCTGGTTGAGCTGTATATTGACTCAATATCCACACTGTCAGTTTCGTTTAACTAAATTCTCATATCCACCGAATAAAGATATGTTCATATTTATTAATAATTCCAAATTTATACCTTTTGTTAACTTTGACATTTGGATTTTAATATGTTTTTATATTTTTAATTTGCATTGTCTGCGTAGGGGCTCTTGCGTGCTTTGTTCATCAATTCTGGCTATGTAGCAGTATTACACTGGGTCTGTTATTATCTCTGCAATGTTTTGTGTGTCATTAGATCTTTGTGAATGCCTTTATCAAATCATTTCTAAAAGCTTTATCTTATCAATCATAAGAATTTCAAGAGGACTTTATTAAGACACCAGATCTTTACAAATGACTTATATTTTTAATTTGCATTGTCTGTATAGGGGCTCTTGCGTGCTTTTTCATCAATTCTGGCTATGTAGCAGTATTACACTGGGTTTATTATTATCTCTGCAATGTTTTGTGTGTCATTAGATCTTTGTGAATGCCTTTATCAAATCATTTCTAAAAGCTTTATCTTATCAATCATAAGAATTTCAAGAGGACTTTATTAAGTCACCAGATCTTTACAAATGACTTATATTCTAGTCATACGATGTTTACGGACAGCTGTATCATACCATTATATATTTACAAAAGACTTTATCACGTCCTTAAGATTTTAAAAAAGGTCTTTACAGGAATTTTTTACAAGGACTGGACAGCTGAATATGATTTTTTAATGTGATCCTCAACACCTTTCCGAAACTTTCTCATACCACGGTGTATCTTTTAGGCTGCATCTGTGTTGCCCTTTCTGTAATTTGCTCGCAATATCATATTACCAATTTGATCAAAACGTTTATGATGGACGCGTACGTTGTTGCATATATCAATGAATAAATTTTCTCTGCCAAGAATAATTTCTTTTTTAATGTCAAAGATAGCATCTAAATTTATTGTTTTGTTCAATAACAAGCACGTAAAATATTGTAATATATTGCTAATAGTATGCAAACGTCATGGTCTGTGATGTACATATGCCGTACGGAAGGGCAACTCAGACCCAGAATTTTGCAATAAGATTAAGGCAGCCTTATTGGAGACTGCGGTGCTAGTTTTGTAAGATTATACTCAATAGCGGTACCAAACCAATGTAAACCTAAACCTATCGAGTCGAGTTAGGTTTTTCGAGAATTATTTTTGCAGTGAGCGCGTAGTGGTCGTATTTGTGCCCTAAAAACTGTTTTTAAATTGATGGGAACACGTAATTCACAAACTGCAATCGAAACGTGGGGGTAGCATAAAAGTATCTATTGCACCTTTATCCTGGGGAAGTTTTTGATTGGCTTTTTACACCTGTCCATAACTTCTCTTCCACTTTCATTTACAGTAATCCCAACATATTTTCACTCAAGGTCGCTTATCTGTATCAAGGGTGTGGAACGGTGCGACCAGTACTCTGTTCATTCAAAAAGTCAAACATATGAAATACAATTATGTGGGGACTTAGTAGTGCAGTTACTAGATTTGACCGTACCATGAACACTATATAGCAGACTGGGTCTTCAAGCGGAAGACCAGTCCGTCCTGAACAATATTGTCTTAATTCATACGTAGCTTCGGCTTAAAATCCAAGAACAAGATATCGGTTCTCATTTCAGTTTGTGTTGTAATTGATATGACCTATTCAAATAACCAAGTCATTCTACGACCTTTGATACCACCGTGTGGTGGGCATATTATTTATTAAAATATCAGTTTTACACAGTTGACTGACCCAATATACTATTTACCGTTATTATTCTGATTCTTATCTGTATTAACATTTGTAAAAAAAATTAGTTCTCTCATTCTTAGTATCCGCATCATGCAATCACATAAAAAAATTATATGTTTGAACTTTATTATGTATTATATTGCAGTATTTCATTAAAGTAACACTATCTATTATATCTATTATTCATCTCGCTGAGAAAAAAACATCAACCCAATGGAATGAAATCCCTCAATATTGAGTGTGCATTAATTATTAATTGAAGTGATCTTTGCACATAATCCCTGCAGTCTTTTGGTGGATTACAAAAGATGTTTTGGACACACCGGGGTTGTTTCAGTTTTTATCAATAAGGGAACGATATATTTCGTAATCAAAGCGGAGAATCGTTGTTAGAAAATGTCAAAGTCTGTTGTCTTTAATTAGACAGAAGCAATGATTCTTTAAAATAATCGTTACTTATAATATAATTAATATCTTCTTACATTTAATTTTAGATTGAAGAATGGAAGGACCAGGATAGATGACAGGTTCGTCCTAGAAAAAAAAGCTTGTCTGATTATTTAATGACAATATGGTGTCGTGAAGATGGAACACGACAAACGATAGGTGTTTGAGAAGATTTCTAATCACATAAATGTCTCTCGTGGCGATAGTGAAATCCAGAGAAAAAAGTCAGAAACGACATAAATTATTTACTTAGGACTATATATACTCGAGTCCAGTCGATTCCCAGTTGCGACCGCGATCCACACGTTATTAAATAATATGGAAAATACTACAGCGACTGAAGTGATCTTATATAATCTGTCTCTTCTGGATATCCGAGTTGAAAATAGCACCGGAAGTCTCGAACAAGAGGTGCCCGATAACCCTCCTCTAATAATATACGATCATCACCTGCCGAAATTTGAACCGCCAATTCTAATTCTTATTTGTGTTGTCTTGGGGCTGATGATCTTGGCTACCATCATAGGGAACGTCTTTGTGATCACAGCGATAATTGTGGAGAAAAGTTTACAAGGTGTTTCTAACTATCTGATCTTGTCGTTGGGGGTGACAGACTTGATGGTAGCCGTTCTCGTCATGCCTCTTAGCCTAGTAAATGAAGTGAGTGTGTACTGGTATCTTGGAGCAGAAATTTGCGACATGTGGATATCTATCGATGTTTTATGTTGTACGGCATCCATTTTACATCTGGTCGCCATTGCGGTTGATCGTTATTGGGCAGTATCAAATATTGACTACATCAGAAGGCGATGTGCACGTGGTATTATCTTAATGGTGGTAGTCGTCTGGTTTGTGGCTATCAGCGTCTCTTTGCCGCCATTATTTGGCTGGAAAGAGGAAACTAATAATCCAGAATTGATTGGCATGTGTATAATTAGTCAAAACAAGGTGTACACGGTTTTTTCGACTGTCGGGGCGTTTTACTTTCCACTTTTTCTGATGCTAATTTTAAACTATAAAATCTACAAAGCCGCAAGATCAAGAATAAGAAAAAAGAAATTTGGCGGGAGACCTCATACGCGTCCAATGTTAGTACCACAAGTTACAATCGAAAACGGCGGGAATCCATCTCGTAATTCTAGTGGTAGTGACGTTAGCCAAGATGGCTTCAGTGTATATAATGGATCTTGTGTTGTCATGAACGAGATTTCTAGAATGGAGAGCACGATAGATGCGACAGACATTGGAACTAATGGCGAATTATATAACGAATCTAAATTTACGATTGGAAATTCCCTTACTGTGCCTACCAATGTGTTTGTTTTGACTAAAAATAGATCGAACAATAACAGTAAACAAGTCAAAAACAGAGAGAAAGACAAATTACGCAAAGAAAAAATTGAGATGCGACGGGAACGGAAAGCAGCGAGGGTGCTGGGAATTATCACGGGAGCATTTATTGTGTGCTGGCTCCCATTCTTCATTATTGCTGTAGTGGCTCCATTTTGTGCTGAAAGTTGTACTTTTCCCCCGCCAGTATTCAGTGTATTTCTGTGGCTGGGTTATTTTAATAGTCTGCTTAACCCCATCATTTATACAATATTCAATCCAAACTTTCGTGTTGCTTTCAGAAAGATCTTATTTGGTAAAATTCGATTTGTAAAGAGATGAAATATTGATGTCTGCATGAAAGGATTTTATGGTGCCTGAGCATTTGTATTTATTGATCTTTTGATGGATGAATGAATGGATAGATGGATGGATGAATAAATGCTATTTTTGCTTTGAGATCTAAACGTGTGTATGTGATATGAGTTAATTGAATCAGTGCTGTGGCTAATTGGCTTTTTCCATTTCTCTTTTGAGTTTTGATAATACTGTTTTTGTCATTTTATCCTTTTATCTTCTTTGATTAAAACAAAATCATTTCAAGTTACGCAATCATGCCGGTACAGAAATGGCTAACTTCCATAAAATCATTAGACCACTGAATTCAATTACCATCTGTTGTTGTGAACCAATCTTTAAAACAATTTAAAATACCTATTAGCTTTGTGCAATTAAAAAGATATGATGTTATTATAATGCACACAGATTTGAACGATTAACTCGTTTTTATGCAATAAAAAGGGCGATCATTTCCCGTTTATAGGCGTTTGTCTTATCAATATGATTTAATATCGGGAGGAATTGGATGGTTGAAATTCGTAACGATCTTATCTGTAATAAATGGAATCACGGCGATCTGGCATTTGATATGCCATCTTTCTGGTGTTTAACGTCAGCTTGTCAAATATAGTAATTATATTATCGCGTAACTTTCTTGCACTCAAATAGTTTCTCTGCGATATTTTGACGAATATCAGATAATATATTTCGATATGTCGATGTTCGTAAAAGAGATTTCATGGATATGATCAACTTTTCCCCTTGATCTTTAGATTTGCCCTTTTTCAAAATTTAAAACATGACACATTTTCTGGATAACCCTATCAGCTCTTTTCTTTTCAAAATTTGAAACAAGTAGTTGAGTTGTGATCAAACATTGTGGAAACATGTGGCGTTTTATCTGCAGCGAAAAGTTAGAAACAAACGTAGCATGTTACCTGTAACGATAACAGTACCGTGAAAACCTATGAGGGTGGTCACATGTTCCATAAATGTATTTGGTCGTTGTTGTTAAGTTTTGTGTCGACAGTAATTGAATTCAGTAGTCTGCGATGTTGTTATCGTTTTGATGAAATAATACACCGTTTTGATGAAATTATACACCGTTTTGATGAAATCATACACCGTTTCTGGCTAGAAGTGTTTTATTGGCAACATAAATGAAGACTGCAACGATATCAATATCACTTATTATGAATTATCTAAAATAAAATGTGGACAAAAAGATAAGCGAAATTACCCGCATTTCTGCCTTTGGTGCTTTGAACCAATTTTTTAATTTTACAATTTTAGGCATTCGGTGTTTCTGCAACAGCGGCAACGTTTCTTGACGGTAACCGCAACGGCTGAAGGGCTGGTTAACAGTAACGCTAACTATGGAATTCTGTAACTACAGTTGACGTCATCGGAAGAACGGTATCAATAAGTCAAATAACCTTCTTGGAATAATTGCGTAGATTTGTTGTTCCTACTTCCTGTATTGCTGTTGTTCCAGATAAAACGCACATGAAAACGTTTCCGTAACCGCCGCCGACATGTTGTTGTTTACACTATTATAAAAAATGAATCTGCGGGTATGGATAGTATTAAATCTATTTACTACAGAACAGATAGGGTTAAAGGTGGAAACAACTTTGATTTAGATCAAAATTTAGTATTGAATTAGGTTGAGCTGGTGTTTATTTTGATTAGTTGGTGTTACGTTGATGGCGTGGGCGGAAGGCTTCTTTTTATCGGAAAATTAGTTGTAGGACGGTTAATTTACTCATTTTTGACTTGTGTCGAGATACACAATTGGCTTTATCTACGGACCTTAGATTTTAAACCCCCATCTTATAAAAATAACTGTATGAATTCTAAGATGATCGACAGAGCGGAGGGTGCACACGATGTAATTCATGCTATGCTGCAAAATCACATAGTATTCAACGTTTTCATAATTTACTGTATATTATATTTACGGCACAGTCTGTTTAAGTTGGTCAATTAACATACCTACTACGATATGCACATTATAAATTATAAACATGATTGTCAATAGTACCCTTTTTATTGTATAATTTATTCAATGCTTCTGTGATTGTAAATTTGGCAGCAAAATCAAAATTGTTTTTTGTAAATAGTTTGTGTTTGTATACTTGAGTTTATTTACTTAATTATTTTGTTTTTCGTTTTTGTTATTTTGTTGTTAGTTGCCATATTTCTGTGTTAATGATCAAATATTATGCCAAATGGCTTCACATATTGTCAGTGGTTATTATAGAATCTCATTTACAGTCTTTCGACTAATTATTTTATTTGGAATAAAATTCCTAACTGAAGTAATTTCTATCATTATTTGTGTTTTAAAAAAGGGCACTTTAAATTTTAAAGTTATTAAATAAATAGGCGAGCTGTTCATTGAAGTAGCTTTTACTGTTAAAGAATATAATTATTAAAACTCTTACATAAAATCTCATTTTCATTTTCATGTCGTCTAGGGGTCCCAGGGTCATTTTATAGACGTATACAGTCAAATTTATTCAAACACAGATCTTATTTCGTTTCGTTTGTTTATATTTGAAAATTATATACAAAATAATTTGTTCGTTTGAAAATTAAATTCAAACATTACATTTTATCATATATTTTATTACGTCAATACATGTATATAACAGTAATATGATTTGGGGCGTTTTATGTTAATATTATGCATGGGTGGGGTATGTTTAAGTATCGTGATTCGGGAAATCCTATTTGACACTAATGCTTCCTTCTTTAAAATGATAAGATATTTGAATATTATATGATGTTATACGTACTTTTCTTAATATGTATATATTCGTATTAAATGGTGAAGTAATATTCCATTTAAAATAATGACATTTATACGATGCATATTTTATTGTTATGCAAATTCATTGAAAAATATCATAACACGACTGCTCTGTTTGTTTTGTGTTTTGTTTTTCTTCTTTTTTTGTCAAGCTTTTATGCATGTAAACGAGTGTCTAGCATCGAACAGGATCTTAATATAGAATATATCGGGAGTGTCCCAAAACAAACGATTAATCCTACCCTAGATCCTTAAAGGAGAAATCCTGGGGTGGGGCGAATGGTTTAACGCGTGCACGTTAGATCATAAGGTCTGTCATTGGGTGGGGGATCAAGTGGCTAAGTCGGTAAGACGCTGGCTCGCTAGCCTGGAGGTCGGGTGTTCGATCCCCGCATTGGCCGAGAAAGTTCATTCAGATTTTCCAGCGTGAGTTCCCCTTGTCAATGATGCAGGACGGAGGGCCAGACAAGGACAGCTGTCTAGTCCTTCGGATGAGACGAAAAACCAAGGCCTCGTGTATATATTGGAATGCACGTAAAAGATCCCCTGGCAGTTGGAATTCGATATAAGAGTAGGCGATAGTACCGCTGCCTGGGCAAAATTTCCCTCATAGCACACTGTATGGCGTATGCCCGTCTTCATTAGCCCAGTATAGGAGCAGAACAGTAGGGCGTTAAACCCCATTTCGTTTCATTTCATTTCTGTCATTGGGTCAAGTGGCATAGTGGCGATTCAGAGCTTGTACGTGACAAGGAGTAGGGTCGCCTGTCCGACCTCGTGGGTTTTCCTAGGGTTACTCCTACAGCTAAAGACCCCTACGCGCAAACAAATTTTGAGATACACATTGATCCATATGTTAGTCCCGAAATGAGCTAGTTTGTCTCGATTTAACGTTAAACCCCAGTTATGTCTGCTATTGTAAATAAACAAACGAGCAGCACGTACTTGTTCTAATCTTTTATGCTTCTACAGACATTGTGCATGGACTAGATTGGCATAGTATTTCACCGTAACACCACAGCCACTCTAACCATTCATAATACATCTAACTATCCCTTTACAGCACTTCACTCCCTACACATTTCCCCTCGTCCTACTTTCCCAAACGTCAACAACACATCTCATACATCCAGTTCGCTGATTAACCCTTGTACCACGTCTACTGGATTGCACTTACAGTTTTCCTTTAACGGAAGAAAAAAGATCAGAATTCCAACGGACACAGAGCGTGATTGGTTGCTCAGTATCAAAATCGGATTATCTTTTTGTACATTCAGTATTTTTAACAGTATTTTGATCGTTCTTTATTTTTCCGGTTCCATGTACGTTACACTCATTTACTCAGAATTCAGGGATGGTATTTTGAAGAGACTAACCTCAAAACAAAACCACTTTAAGAAATGGCTATCTATTTGGGGTTCAGCAGTTGTAGGGAACTGGAGAACAGAGATACAATCAATATACATTCGTCTACTGTAGGAAAGCAAGAATAAAACCGGAATGGGGTGGTGTTATCATTTTGTCAACACTTTGACTACTGACCGCGCGCCATGAATTACGAAACACAATATTCCATGTAGTCATACTCGAAAAGTACTTATCTGGCCAGCTATATTTATAGTAAGAGTAGAATTGCGATTTGTAAGACAGAAGGTAATATGAAGATTAACATGGATATTGTCTTTCTTATCGAATTACGTTCACGTTCGCAACACCTTGGTTTTACATTTAATCCATGTACTAAACACGAATTCCTTAATAGCCCCATTTGCGCAGCTTTGCTAGAAAAATCCTGAAAGTTCTTTTAAATCTGACAGGTGGTAAAACGTCTTCCCAATCTTAACTATTTTAAAAACAACGGGAAAGATCCATAATTTTAGAGATTTCTATAGACCCGCTTCTAATATAGTACCAACACGAGAGTTACGAAAAACAGTAAGTTGGCGAAAGAAGTATAATGACACGAGCCCAACACCAATAATCAATATAAGATTACAGTTTCGTTTCGTTTATTTTTTTTCTGATTTTTCCACTACAGGTGTTAATACAGCACAACATAAACAACTAAATAGTGAAATGAAAAGTGGTAACATGTGTTCCAGACACTGAGAATAGTGTACCTGTAAATTGAGTATTTGGCTTGAATCGCAAAAAGCTGCTAGAAGACAACCTTCTCAAATTTGAATCGGTACCAGATGTTTCAAATTAGTAATAATACATTACACTGCCTCGTACAAGATACCCGTCAATATTTATGGCTGAATGGAACCCAAAAAATCAAGGCAGAAAATCATTTAACAGCGGTGTTAGACGGCAGATGCTTCTTTTCGCTTCTACGTCATCAATGACCTTGAAAAAATTGAAAGGTTCTATTGATTTTCAAAGGTCATTAATTTTGTATACATGTTATATAGATATAGCTAAAGGTCAGGAATATATATTATAAATGGATATCGATGGCTTGATGCTAACATTTAGTAGGGTGTTACAACGGAAGTTGTCACTCATAATATGTAATTACATAATTAAAGTGGCACTGTTACGAATATCAGATAGAGAAATCATGTTAAATATTAATCTTGCTAATTCTTATACATGGACGAACCTTTAATACTAGTGGTAAACCGTAAAAATAGGAGACAAAACCAACAAGGTAAGCTGACGACGTGTGATTAGCTTCGTCCCTTTTATCCGTTGCTAGTTGGCTCGGATAAAATAAACTTCTTGACAGTAATACGAACATCTGAAATAATTGTTATAGTATTATACAGAACGGAATACTCTGCTATATATAAATATCGAATACCGAATGGCAATCAAATTCAAAGTTCATTAATACATGATGACAAGTGTGTATTGGTACGTGTACTTTGCTATCTTCTATCCACCGAAATTGGATTTCACATTCATAGAAAAAGTCTATATTTAACAAAAACGAGTAGATGCTAATAATAATGTCATTTCGAGAGAATCACAAACTATCTTGTGGGTGGGGGGGGGGGCATTGAACAGTTGGAAGAAACGGGAGAAACACTACGAGGTCAGGCAGGCATGGATCAGCCTGGGACGGAAACCACGAAACTTGACATCCATACCCGTCCCCCCCCCCCCAGATAAAAGCGTAATTGCATTGTCTTTTAACGTTAACACTCACATACCATTGGCTGTTCCAACTTGGAATAACGGGTACACTATTTATGCATTTTGTGGATTTCATGTACTGCACATTCGGGTCACATCAAATGATCTGCGGAAACATTTCGATATGTTATATTTTTCTTTACATAAACACCAGAATCCCTCTACACAGTTCTAGTACCCTCATTAACCATAGAAGCGTACAGATTCGATAAAGACCTTGTCCACACCGGTATATACTTTATTATTTAAGGCACCTCACTTTTTCCAGTACCTTATATTTATTTATGCATAGTTCAATTCCAATGACGGTAAGGAGCATCTTTAAATCGGTGAATGGACTGAATTCGCATGTCGGACATCCGGGTTGGTATACGATGAGACAAGTAATACCGGGTTATATATCTATTTGTAATTTGCGTAGAGAGAGAATAACATTAATTTTAGAGAAGACTATAACTTAACTAGTGGTATGTACAAAATGTCGACTGTGAACATGGAGGTTAAAAATATCACAGAAGTGGCGGACAATGTAAATCAGACAGTGTATGATCATTACGTTCCAAAATTTAACTTTCCAATCCTTATTCTTATTTGTGTAATCTTAGGTTTAATGATCTTGGCTACCATCATTGGAAACGTCTTTGTGATCACGGCTATCAAAGTGGACAAAAATTTACAAGGTGTTTCTAACTATTTGATCTTGTCGTTGGGGGTGACGGACTTGATGGTAGCCGTTCTCGTCATGCCTCTTAGCCTAGTAAATGAAGTGAGTGTGTACTGGTATCTTGGAGCAAAAATTTGCGACATGTGGATATCTATCGATGTTTTGTGTTGTACGGCATCTATTTTACATCTGGTGGTCATTGCAATCGATCGGTATCGATCCGTATCGAACATCGATTATACCTTGAAAAAAACTGCACGTGGTATACTGGCCATGGTAGCGATTGTCTGGCTGGTGTCTGTCAGTGTTTCCTTGCCGCCGTTAATTTTGATGAAGACCGAAACTCACAACCCGGAAATAACTGGAATGTGTATAATCAGTCAAAACAAAATTTACACCATATTTTCTACCATTGGTGCATTTTATATTCCGCTTATTATTATACTAATTATCAATTATAAAATCTACAAAGTAGCCAGTGCTATCATTCAGAAGAAGAAAAGCAACAGAAATTCACAAAGACTATCTACATATTATGTCGACAATCGTGGTAATTGCTCATCTAATTCAAGCAGAAGTGACCTTACAAACGAAGGACTCACTCGTAATGGTCAGCGATCGCGCGTCAACTTTGACGATATAAACAAGAAGTGGGGCGATAAAGGAGATGGGCGGAATAGTTCGATAGATTTTAGCCAAGATAGCGAAAGTCAAGACGAACTCAATAACGCTGATATTCCAATTCAAAGGATAAAAGTACCTAAAATTAACGTTGAATATTACGACAACCGAACTCGCAACTACAGCGGAAATGACATAAGTCTAGATGGAGTCAAGATGGACGATTCGTTCCCAACAAACAACGATATTACTAAAAGCGAGAACAGTATAGTGGCAATAGATGTTGATGGCAAATTGTACGAAGGATCCCAGTTAGACATAGGAAATACACTGACCGTGCCGTCGAGCATGATTGTTCTAAGAAACAATTCCAAGAAGCCACGAGACAGAGGCAAAAGAAGATCTTTATTACGTAGAGAGAATAGAGAGATGACACGTGAGAGCAAAGCAGCAAGAGTACTGGTCATTATTACGGGAGCATTCATTGTGTGTTGGCTGCCATTTTTTAGTATTGCTTTAGTTGCTCCTTTATGTGAAGACAGTTGTTCATTTCCCGAGTCAGTATTCAGTGTGTTTCTGTGGCTGGGCTATTTTAACAGTCTGCTTAATCCCATTATCTACACTATTTTCAGTCCAAATTTTCGGAATGCCTTCAAAAACATTTTGATAAATAAACTGTGCTTTTGTCCGTGTGTAAAGAAATAAGGGACTGTAAATGCATGTATAACAATAAAATAAGTTTTATATTTTTGAAAATAAACACGCCAACTGTTTTTGTTAATGCTGCTTTGATTAATAGAAGAATATACAAAACTTCATCTAAACTAGTTCCAGCTTCATTTCTTATATCCTCTGACCCCTGTTGGTTTCAGAGCTGCGAGTTGGTGCGGATATTATCTTACTCGAGGCAGAATGTGCTTTACTCTTTTCCGAACGCTCGATACAACATGAACTTTGCATTGTTCATTTACTTTACGATTGGAATTAAAGTTTTGACGCTGTCGATGTTTTGTTAAGCTATGTTTCGTTATGCCTAAAGGTTCCTCCGATATTTATATCATAATATCTACACAATTGTCAAATGTGATAAGAGGTACGGTCAATGCGGACGGTGACTTTGGGGCTATTCTTATTCCAGAATCTACGCATTTTCGTGCTCGTTGATTTCCAATTTCCTTCACAGTCTCTGGTAATACGACACATAACATATTTTAATATACATGTAGTTGTTTATGTTCGATGATTTTTATCTTTAACTGTTCGAGTTATGAACCTTTGTTACGATAGCTTGTTAACACTATGGAGGCCACTCGTCCGATCTGTGTATAGGTTGTCTGGCTGTGTATGGGGAAGAAGAATATTGTATTATGTTTTTTTGCAACCCTATATAGTCTACAATTACCATCTGTAAATTACTTTATTTATATTTCGTGTCCCATTAATGGTAGATGCCTTTTCGGTTCTGTAAAGACTTAATATACCAATGGTTATTAATATTGTATAGTAGGCCTACCTTCAAATTCAAGGCGCACAAATTCAAACCGTTTGTTAAAACACAAGTAAGATTTGCAAGGCCAACTAGATTCGAATAACTAGATTCGCCGACTTCATCTAGAAACGAACAGAAAGGGATAGAGCGTTGAATAATGTAACAATTCCGGTATATCCTATTTGACATGCCGGGAAATACAGAGAACTATGACTGATTACCGAGTGCACTGAAAACAATTCAGATAATGCTATATATCGAGATATGAAACAACTACATCGCTGATGGAACCAGGCCACCCATGTCAGCAGATCGAAGTAATTCTTGTTGGTTTGTAGTTCAGCGATAGAGACGATATGTAACAAAACAAAACATCCGGGTAAAACATAGTTCAAATTCAGAAATCGAATTTTCGAAGAGATAATGTTTGTTGTGGGGGTCAACGTGACCTAATAACCCACGTGCAGGTCAAATTGTTGGAAATCTTTATACCCAGATCGTGAACGTATATTAAAGCAACATAAAGGTTCCAGTTTTCGCTGGTGGTCATCTATGTTTTTAAGGTCCTAACCCTATCTTGCCATGTTCCCATTATATGCCATTATGCATTTGGGCAACCTAGGACACGTGGAACATATGAACGATTCCGTTTTGACCACAAGGTCCCCCAAACCAAGATTGTTTAAGTGTGCAAATCAGAGCCACATGTAAACAAAATATTTTACATCGTCTGATATGACCGCCAAAATACTTTATATGTGGGGGGGGGGGGCACGTAACTCTTACAATTTCTTATTAAGTGACCTGATGAAGGAGGCTATGCCATACTGTTTGTAACCTTTGTAATAGGCAGAACTTTGCACACTTCCTTGGTAACAAAAGAACGGGATACGGAAGTCTTCCACGCAAGTTTAACCAGATTTAATCTCTGAATTACACCCAGGGCTTCTCCTTTAAAATATATAATTTTAATAACAATAAGACGTTTTCATTTTTTTTTATCGAACTATTAGTTTGTTTAATATTTGTTTAGATATGTTTTAATATTTATGTGTATTTTATGGTTTTAATTAAGTGGCCATTTGTATCATATGGCATATGATGCAGGCCCCGAGCACCAGCTTAATCTCAATCTGCAACCTTTTGAGACTGGAATGTATAATAAGAATGCTAATATGTGTGTTAATAATAGGTCCTTGAAAATGGTCGGCATGGGTAATAAAGTTGGTCTACAGAGACTTCAATAATCAGTAAACGCGTTTATTAATAATTGTAGTAGCAATGGGGTTGAACCTTACGCTGAACGATATACAACCTGCGGAATGAACATTCAATACTCGAGTGTCATGCATTCTGCAATTTCATAAAGGACCAGACTTGGATGAAGACAAATATCAAGAGGAACAGAGAGCTTCGATTGAAATAATATAGGCTAATGTCTTTAAAAGAATAACAAAAGATGGCTTCTGCTTCAAAAGATTTAATTAAGCACTAAACCTGCGTAATCACACTTCCCTGATGCTATTAAATTTATTTATTTTTTACCTGAATTGATTAATGCCGACATGAAAGTGCGACAGTTGTCGAATGTTAATAGATACGCTGTTTTATCATTCGGCTTTAGATAGCTACAGAATCAATAGCTAAGTTTCATAACGGTTTCTTCTATCATCTAAATATTTAATATCGTCTACAATATGACAGTCGGTTATTTAAGCTCTTTTATGGTATAAGTTTTCATTGTATATTGGGTCGTATAGCACAATATCTCAAGCTGCAATACCCTGCTGTGTTTTTCCTTGCGACTTGGGTATTTACCTCTTAGCAGCCCCACCAACCAGTGTAACAAACCTGGTGAATTTTCAATTGTGCCGTTCAAGATGCCCGTGGTTATGAATAAAATGTTTGCGCAAGTCAAGTGGGTTAAGTAAGTATAGATTTGCACCTCTCTGGAGTTTTTGGCAATAACTTTCTTCTTCATTTTTTCATAATCATAATGCTCAAACAGTGTCAAGCGTGGTTCAGATATGCTACAAATCGAATCTAGCAGGTTCCACGCAGGCCACAATTTCTGGGCGTCGGGAGAGAGAACTCCGATACCCTAACGATAAAAGAATCGGGTGGTTGTGCCCCCGCTGGATCTTGTTCCTGATGCAAAATCAGCGGTCACCATGCCATGGTTACTGTGACAATCCCATGAGCATTTATATGAGAGAATTTCGGACCACAGAACATTACTAACTGAATAAGAAAATACCTTCACAAATTGATTACGTCCCGATTAAACACCTTACTTAAAAGAACTGATAGAAACAGATTATGTACCGATCGACTGTAATTTGGAACTTTAAGGGATCACAATTGAGCGTCTCCGTAGTGCTCGTTGATGTTTATGCTTACCATTTCAAGATCTTCTGAAACCAATCTTGTTTGCTTTATTTAAAGTTACTCTTTTTAAACTATAACTCATACTTATGGAAGAATTACTGATTTATTTTAGGGACGTTTCGAAGAGTATTCTCTCAACGTTTTCAAGTAAGAACAGTAACCGCGTACGTTACAAGAGGTGGTGGCGACTGCGTAACGTCGTACGTTACAAGTAGTATCGTCGTTTGCCTAACCTAGTAGGCCTACGCGGCGTTGCCTGCATACGTAAAAATACGTAACCTCTTGAGTTTTCCATGGGCACTCCCGTTCCTCCAACTTTTAATACATTGTCCGTCTATGGCCCCAACATGATAATGTGTGAACCTTGTGCCCCATAGATTAATTATATACTTGTTGTCTTGGTGATGTACAAGACCGCCACATACGTTTTCGCGCCAGATAACGTAAGCGGTATAGTACAAATAGTTCGTAATGGTTCTCGAGGATGAGTACCAAGACTCTTAAAGTACAAACGTATTTACTTGGCGACATATTGCAATCACCCTAATGGCTTCCCTTGGTCTTAGAGATCTGACATAAAAACAATTGTTAAAAATGTCATTATACTGATAACGGAAATAGGCCATGGTGCGTTGCATAGATTGGAAACCCATACTGATTACAATCATTTGTTCCGTGACAACTCGAAACCTATCGTCTGCTACAACATCTGAGATTGTTATCGGAAATACATAAAATAAAAATGAATATGATGTTTAAAGGAGCTAGCTCTCTATTCTTTGGTACGAAATTGTTTCGAAGGGCAAATATTGATGTAATGTGATCGATAATGGATATAAACAGGTTTATATTCAATTTTTATTGCAAATTCTAATCAATTATGTTCGGCGAAATACGCGAGCAGTCCAAATGCAATGGCAGTTGTTTGCCCCTGGTTAGCCCAGTCTACATGGGGGGTACGTTTTGTATATTTAAGAATGACAAAGGCCTCACAAATCCAAAGTTCTTTACTAAGTAGTGATGTCTAGATATTGGTTAAAGACCTCTTTGAATTGACTTTTCACCTAAAGAGTCACAGATGATAAAGAAATTTGAACGTTTTAGACCTGATATCCACACTAGGACACCCTCGATATTTTATTTTGTCCTTATTATTTTCATATAAATAGAGAAATATGTCAATCAGAAGATTTAGCAAGCATGACCGATTGAAACGAAGTCAAGGGTCACAGTTAATGTGGCGGGAATTATGCCACAGTATGACAGATAACTGCTCCATTTGAACGTCTTTAGGTGACGTGTTACTCATAATACGGGCCTTTTTAGATTGAAATAGAAAAGACTTCCTCAACAAGAACTTATAGGATTGCAATATATATAGATCCTTTGTCTACGATTTTGTTATCTGCCATACTGGAATTCGATCAATTAGATTTTAGCTTCCAAATCAAATTGATATGGTTGGTTAAAGGAGACTAGCTCTATCTAATTGTTTGAAACTTATACTCCCATAAAACTGTTTGGTGAATCAAGTCGGTGAATCCACATTCTATTGTAAACGTATCGCGTTTACCTGTGTGACAAGGTTAATAGCTGTATTCCCAAAAGTGGTAGAGAAAAACACAATACGCATCACTTGGACAACAAAATGTAAACAGTCGTATTTTGGGGGTTCTACTAATCGCCGACAAGGGAGGTTTTGTTTGCAATATTTTGATCACTATTGACAAAACAATCTTAGCAGTTAGTAGAACCGTCATCAGATCCTTGCTTTCTGAATTCTGTATTTATATGCGCTTACCTTCTAAATGTTTTTAATTCCATGATATACAGCACTCGACTGACCTCAGATAATGGTCAGTTTTTGGTTTTACCACAGATATTTACAACAAGCTTTATCGTTTATTATCTTGTATTCAAAATAACAGTATCGTTAGTAATTTAGGAGGAGTGTTGAGGGTCTGGAAGCTCCCACTATTATATGAAGAAAGTTGTTGGTCATTCTCTTATTCTATAACATACACTTTCTCTAGTAAATTAACAACCATTCTTGAAAGCACACCATTGATATTCTACCTCTGGATGCGACGAAGTGTCAAAAATCATTTACCTTATTTAAATTTATCAAATATATATGCTAAAATGAGACTGTTAAAACAAAAGGCGTAGAATCTAATAATCTAAAGTTCTCCTTTTTTAACATTCATGCTGTTGCTGCTGTGAAAGGGGAATATTAGTGTCCACCAATTATACATATTTGATAGAACTGGTTAAACAAAAATAGTTCAAATATAATTGCAACATGGAGATGAGGAAGTGACACAAATAAGGGAGAGTATTTATTGATACCAAATGAAGTAGAGAGCGGGAGTGAAAATCGTCCGTGTAGCTGTTATCGTTCTCTCTATCAGTCGGTAACAATAAGATCCTCGATATCCCCAGGGGTCTCATTCCGTTCCACTCCACTCACCCCTGGGTTCATCCATGGAGGAGACACGCATTCAAATTATCTGCCTTGGTTGTGCTTTTTTATCGACCAATCAAAAAATCGTTAAATACATAAGAACTGACATAAAAACATCTTTCCTATCGAAAAAATGTTTTAGGACATCGTTTTGTGTGCATGAAAGTTCTTTTGTATTAAATTTCTTGCAAACTTTCTCATAATCGAGAGAACAAGCACCCATACTATTGTGAACGTAAACAATGAGGCTAAGACTGGTTTGTAAACCGTTTTTGAATGGTTCGTAGAATCAAGCTACGATCAGGGGCAGATAATTTGAATACGTGAATACCCCATTGCTGAAACCGGGATATAATGGCGTAGAACGGGAGGAGACCATTGCGGATACCGAGGATGTAACAATAACTGCTTTAATTTATTTGCGTCACTTCCCGTTTCTTCAAACCTTTGATGCGGATCGACCGTAGCAAAGATCTGTATATTAGAAATATACTTTGGATGTGTTACACCAGTTCTATTGCATATTGGTAGACACCAACATTATCCATAAAGGTATGATCTATCGCACGGGTTGTGAGTTTCCGGGTAGAGGTGTTTTACGCGTTATCATTGAGTTAATACGTTGGTGGATACTACAATAATGGCGACTGGGTTGATGTATAGAAAATTTAGAAAATATAATACCGCCATGCCTGCATCGCAATAAATTTGTCAATGTTTGTTTTTCCAAATAAAGCCTTTTAATGTTTCCCGTTTGTGATAATTTGATTTTATATCCTTCGTCGACAATTGTTTTGTACTTTATGGCTCCAGCTAAATGCATCAGGGAATAACACGATTATTATAAAATCAAAAAAAATATCATCACATGTGCAATACCCACTTACACTAGATTAATGTTTTTTTTCATAAAATATATAAGAGCAATATTGTATATGTATATAAATGAATATAATCCTGATTGTCAATAAAAGAATATGAATAAATTATTTCTGTGAGTTGTTTAAAGCAGAAATGGCCACAAATTATCGCTAAAACATTAAAGTAGCATCCAAAACCTTCGACAATAAAAACATGAATAATTTGTCAATTTTAATCAACATTGGTGTTGTGATCTTACCGGGAAAAGATGGGCTTCTGATATCCAATATTTAAGACAAAATAAACATTTTACGATTGGTACACGAATCGTGTACCATAATGCTTTTCTGCGCAATTTGATACAAGAGACTCGGAAGAACGAGGTTAGACATATTCCACAAGTCATGTGAAACGGTGACCTCATATTCTTATTTGGAGAGCATGCGAAATAAATACTATCGGTGTAGACTGGAATAACCAGACGCTAGAGATTGCCATTCGATTGAGACTTCTGGCGTATTTCGCCGAACATAACTGCTTTGAAATTAG